ATGCCGAAAACACGTGTCTTGCAGTGTGTAAGTGTCAAAACAGACCTCATGAAGGGCTCAAAATATGTTATCGGATCATATTGTTTTGAGCGAGGTCTCAAAAAAACTCGCAACGAAAGATATATATATATATATATATATATATAATGTTCATATGCAAATTTAAATATATGTATGTATATGCATTTACATGTGCATATATATATATATATATATTTATATATACATAGGTATATATATGTTTGTATCAACACTTTCAGTGGACTATTTTTGTGGCATGTGCTACTGAAAGGCTTGCTGAAAAGCACCCGTGCTATACCAAACCTCTGAAATGCTTTGGAAGATTCTGTCAGATCAAAAGGAAAATCTGTCAAACGAATCAGCGCCATTTGAATAAGCCACTCATTGTTATGATTGGCGTGGGCGTGGGACCATTCGACTTGTTTACGTGGGATGACGAATGAATCCACTCATATTGAAAAAAATTAAACGGAAAAAGGACGCCACGTCACAGTTAGCAGTGAGGCATTTATCCTTCCGGTTTTATTTTGATGTTTAAGGTTGCAAAACGCTTGCAGAATTTTACACGTAGATATTCTCCACTCCTGCGCCAGGACCTTAATTCACATAATGTAGAGTTTTGTTTATGAGCTGTATTAGCAGTTTTTTTCGGATATCTTCATGCACAAATTCCGGTAATTTTTAATATTATTTAGTCGCTATGTACTGCATTGCTATACATATTCAACTCCTAAGTAAGTAAAGACTTCAGTAGGTGTCTTATAATCATTCCACAATGTCCTTGGTTTACTTTTCATTTTATAGAGCTTATTCACTTGTTTACTCATATCCTTTGGATGGGTGAGTTCAGGCTGTTTAGTAGCGCTATCGACAGGTACTCGAACGCTATCTTATTACGGCCTTGTGTTTTCCTGAGACGATTGCGAATTCTACTCTCTAACTCTCTGCGATCTAAAAACTATAGCTTCGTTATAAATATGAATATAGTCATACCATATTATTCTGCACTTTTAGATTATAGCTCTCCAATTGGCCTACAAAAACATGCAATCAATGGAAAGTATGTCAGTAGTCCACGATCGTGTCTAACGCATAATTAGCACATCTGCTCGCTCAAAAACTATGATGAGAATATGCACAGCTCCTTATCAGAAGTGTTTAAGCTATCGATATGTACCCGTATGCCAAAAGCATCAAGAAAGCCCATACTAGAAAAAGGCAACGCCTACTAACCACGTTTCCCATATGTCATTCAGCCATGAATTTCATTTGACTCGCCCCGCCAACGAATCCATCGATGAATAGTAGTCGTCACACAACTCACTGAACCCGAATGATGTGAAGTGGTTCCGTCTGTGCATCGTAGTAATACGTATGGACTCATATTTGATATTGCTTTTGTAAAATAGATCATTACCTCTGTTTTCCAGTTTGAATTAGACGCTCAATGAACTCCATGAGTTCCATTTATTTCCACTTATTCTCCTCTTCTGCAAAATTTATCTTCAAACGTTCGTTATCGATGACATAATCGACTCGTGAAACAAATAGTCTCGTTCTGATGTCTAAGATTTCTTGCTATAAATTGATAAAGGCCACTGTTCTCTATTTTCTCCCTCTAGTGAGTGGTGTCATTCTTTAGCTCATTTGCGACCATGTAATTTGATTTTGGTGTGGGCACGAACGCATACAGCAAGCAGCAGGTATTGATTTCAATGCGCATGTTTTTCAGTGGTTTAATTCAATGGAAAAGCCTTTTTGCTAGCTTTTTAGTCGATTGTTAACTTGTAAGACAAATCGTTAAACGGTCGTTGATCGAGTGGGCTTCTGTTCTACCTCTAAAAATATAGGTTTTTCGACAAATTAGTTTGATAGTGAAGTAATTGCGGTTTTCGGCGTTTCGCGAGCATAATTAACTTTCACTTTACTCCTTTCTAATGACAAACGACCATAATGGTCGACGTTGAATTCTTCTGCAACGTCTAGTGTAGTTCTTAGGGGAATCAGCTTCGATAATTGCTCTCAATTGGTCGTTGTCAACTTCCCATGGCCGCACTACGTCACTCATCTTCTAGGCTCTCATCTCCTTTACGAAACTTCTTGAATTGCACCGTACGTTTGTTAGCAGTTTCTGGACCAAATGCGCTGTTGATGTTGCGTGCCGTTATAAATATAAAACAAACAACAAGCAATACGTCATTAGCAACAAGAAATAAAGCGAGAAATGCTTATTAAAACTAAATTATACTTATCTCCTGTTCGGACCCGTATTCGAAAACGTATTTCTGCCCTTTCTATACATTTTAGTAGTCATTCGATAGCCTAAATCTCGAGAATTTAAGGGTGTAATTTTTTTGAATGGGTTCTATATTATGCTATAGCAATAAAAGAATTTATTTCTAGACTCAGGCATTTTTCTCTGAGCGAAGGTTTCCTTTAGAAACTTCAGTAAATGCGATACCACAACATTGGCAGATTCGATTTCGTTTTTGTTTTTCTGAAAAAAAAATTTTTTTTGCGCTACAACATTGAGATTAGGATTGCATTTCATATGCAGCGCCCATATTTTGCACCGTTGTGTGGATAAATTTCGCAACATTGGCATCAAGCCATCGCTCTCTAGTAACCAGTCAATAGCGTAATTCCTGAGCATTTCAATCATATTCTCGCTTCTGAAAAGGAGTTCCCCAGCGCGTTGTAGCAGTAAGAGTAACATTTTGTTGCACACTTAAGTACTTTTCGCTGGGCGCAGCTTTTCTATCAGGCTTTCAATAACCATTCGGTAGCACAAATCTCAGTGATTCCAATGATATGCTTAGTTTTTGAGAAGAACTTTATAATGTGTTATTAGAGCTCAAAGAATATGGGTTTCGCACTCGCCGCCGTGTCGATCGCGCAGCGTAGTTCACATGTGGCGCGCACCGAATGGTTATTGAAAGTCTAAATGAAAAATATGTCTAGCAAAAGATGCTATAGGGTGAAATGAAATTTTATTTCTGCTATTACAGCATAATATTGAATGCTATTTGAAAAATAAAATGCCAAAAAGGAATAAAAAATATGTCTTTTTTGATTATGGGTGCGTATAGGGGAAAGTACCAATGATACATAATCTAAGCACATTTATTTTGAATGAATTCTGATATCAAACGGCTAATTTCAACATCACTTAAGCCGCAATTACTTTTTCACCAGCCACCTATTCAGAAGACAGTACGTCGTTTTCTGTTTGCCGTTCGACACCACATTTTTACACAAAAAGGAAGGTCTGATGTCAGCCTACAGTTCGTGGAGCAAGATGTTGTTGGGCGTTAGGCGGGAAAACTTCTATTCTGCACTTAAAAATATAAGTTTTTCGACATGAAAAAACTCCACATCGTTCTTTGACTACTTTTCGACATAAAAAGCTTTCCGCTTTGTTTACACTTCTTCCTTCCAGATAGTTTCCCAATAGTGATTGAACAGATGTGAATACCCGTCGTATCCGATGTAATGACCAGCTGAGTTTCCTTGATTTGATAGCACGTTACGAAAACCTCCTAGTTCCTGTAGTGATTCTTTTAACTGTTTACGTATTCTTCAAGTTCATACTCTATCACCAGAAGTTCTATACACTATGTGTATATTTCTTTCCAACTTTATAACGTCAGTCTACAGCTGATGAAACAAAGTTGTTTGTGTTGGGCGGTGGTCGGTAAATCTTCTTCTCTGCACTCAGAAGAATTAGGTTTTTCGACATAAAAAGACGCCACATCGTTCTTCGTCGCTTTCGACACCATGTTTTTCCACTTAGCGAATTTTCTCGTTATTTACTCTTTCGCTTTCCACCTCGTTCACCATTAGTATGTGAACAGATGTGGGTGCCCGTCGTATCCGATGTAATGGTCAGCTGAGTGCGCTGATTCAATATCATTTCAGAAAAGCCTCTTGGTTCTTGTATAGTGTCCTTTCACTGTATAAACACATCTCAAGCTCATAGTCATTCATTGAAGCTCTATCTAGGGCCTGAGGTGTTTCTTTTGAACATTTTTATGAAAAAAATAAACATAGCTGTGAACTGAAAAGTAGCGGACTAGTCAGAATATTTGAATGATTGCTCATTTAGCATCTTATCTTTCACCACTATCAATCATATTCCGTTCCTCTTGGTCTTATCAGTGAAGTTTTTTCTGTAGCAAAATATCGTCTCTTTCTATATTGCAACTATATAGACATGTTGATTAGTTGTAGAGGAAAGACTGCTAGCAAATGAAAGTGAATAACTAACTTCATGTAGTATTGCTCGTTAAGGGTCAAGTTCCAAATTTTATCATCATGCTTTCAAACCAAGAAGAGACATTTTGCTTTTGATAAATTCCAAATCAGGCTTTCGTCTTGGTGTTGCACCGCAGTGAAGACCAGCGAATTTAACAAATATTTCTAAGGCCGACTGACTATCTATTGACCCCGGAATTCTCTAAGAAATCCTTATTTTTTAATGAGCCAGTTACGAGATTTTTATAATGTTATATATTCAAATAGCTAAGTTTTGGCAAAATCTCCTTCTTCAATGCTTGGAAAGTCAGGATATTTGCAACCCAGTCAGCCAAACATCTCCATCACTTCATTAGAAAAAATCACCAAACCTAGATTCTAATCGCATCAAACACATAAATTACCCTATCACATTCTCATCGCTTTTTATATGTCCTTCACTGAGTTGTTCAAGTGGATAATACCGGGCGGAGGTCACATGGACTAGTAATCGGTCTTCCTCATCAAATTAACAGCCCTATATATTATCTCGTATCACAATTGATTATGCGACATTCCTCCCTGCGGTTACGCTTGAATTGGTGGTACTTATCCAAAACATCTCTAAGCAAATATTTCCCCTTCTATATGAAGCACTTTTATGGCGTTACCTATTATGCATCAGCACTATTTTGATTATGACGTAACCATATATCCAAGAATGATGAGTGATATGCAAAGCTGCTAGCCCCTGGCAGGAGTTGAACCCACGTCTCACTCTTACCAGGGACGCGTCCTAACCACTAAACTACCTAACTCCTTGCTGTGCTATAACTTTTTTCTGCTCGAAACTGTGAGCAACCAGCCGCCAACGTGATCAAACGGATGAGAAAGAGTACAAGGGTGAAACACGGGTTCAACTCCAGTCTGAGATTTACAGTTTTGCATCTCCCTCGACATTCTTGAATACGCAGTGATAGTATCATAATGTCAGTTATAATATCACCGCAATGCTCTGAAAGCGGCAAAATATCTCTTGAAAATTATCTATATCCAAGCTGTAAGCCTAACTGTTTGTGGTACCAATATGTGCTTTACCAGATCAAATCTGTTGACGGTTGGTTGCTCATAGCTTTGATATCTAGTATATAGGTGAAAGAATGATAAGCAAAAAAATCCATTATTGCTTTCGTAGTTTACTATTTGCTATCTTCTCCAACTTGTAAATATGTCCTCGACTTATTGTGGAAAGATGCTTTTATTTCTTTTCTCAATTTGTTGTATTGTCTCTTGAACTGCAATAGCTCACGCTCCTTTATTCTGTAGTCCTGTGATTTTCTATCTGATGATTGTGGTAATACTGTTTCTCAAATATCGAACTTTTTTTCCTCTCTTCGATGCTATAGATAGCTTAGTGCCGCTATTCGATTTCTAGGAATTATTAGAATTCTTATCAGAATGGCAGTGGAGCGTTCGTCTTCCAGGACAAGTAAATTGGTGCCAATCCCACCGGATGGTGGTTGGGGTTGGGTTGTGGTTTTGGGTTCGTTCTTTGTTCATGTCTTCGCTGATGGATTTGTCTACTCATTTGGTATGCTTGCTGAAGTTCTCATGAAGGTATGTGTACATTTTTTTTTTACTTTGGAAACCGACTTTCCTTTGACCTTGGCATTGCTGATCAATAAATTTTTTTCTGTCAAACTCATGTGGTTAACAAACGAACTTTATCAGGCTAAGGTTTCAACGTCTTCGTGTTCTTCAGAATCGATTATTCGAGACGATTGTTTACAGTTTTTCGTCGTCGTTATGTGTGTTCCTCTTCATTGTTCACGTTATTCAAATACTCTTTGGCGGAATACCGCCCGAGCCTGAGCTCGAGCCACTGTGAAGAATCAAGTGTAATGATCGGCTCTAAAAATGATGAACACGTCGAAACTTTGGCCGAATAAAATCTAGAATTGGTCTTAAGAAAACACATAAAAGGAGAGGTATGATATAACAATGATACCAGCCAAGAGCAATCGATGTAGAACAATGTGTCTTCGGTGATAATTTCACCGGACATAGGATGTAAAATGTTCGTCGTCGCCTACTCTTAGTTTGAGGGACTGAGCGCCTCGAGAGGACTGGCTAAAGACGGTAAGGGTACCGCCCGACTGATGAGACCGTCAAGGTTGAAAACAGTGTATAGGGCTCTATAAGTCAGCCATTATAACAGACCGCATGACATGCGTGGCTCAGAAATGATTAATTCGCATATTGAAATTTATCTGTCAAAATGTGTTAACTTCAGCATTCAAAATATTTTTCAATTTTTTTTGAAATGTTCGTCGCAGTGCTATCATAGCTATCAAATGTTTCGGTATGACCATATTTATCAAGTGACCACAGCGCATAACTGTGACGTTTCCTCCAAAACCTCCTTTTCCCACCGATCGCTCACCGCTGCCTTCAGTTGTTTTGTTTGTTCAACAGCCGTATTGTATCAAAGTCTGAAAATCTTGGTGACTCGTGAACTTATCAGCTTATCCATTATATGTCCGGATGAGTAGGTCGTGTATGTTATGAATTTGTTTCTTCAGGCAAACAGTTCGCTGATTTTGCTAACGAAGCGGTTGTCTTACTCTTTTCCTAATTTTCTCATTGTTTAAAATTGCGCTCGATGGTGAAGTGTGTTTGTCTGTCTTGTATTGTACAAGTACCAAGACAGGAAATAAACTACTTTATAATATTTCGAAAACTGACTTTTTTCAACCTGTTGAAGCCGTCGTTACTCAAGGATTGCACATCGGTCCCAATGTGTCGAACTTCCTTGGAGTCTGGCCACCTAGAGTTTTGCATCAGACTTTTCATAGACACTCGACAGGCTGAAAAAAAATCGACTTCGGTAGTGTACTTGGATTCTGAATAAGCTTTCGTGGTAATCTGTAGCAGCGGAAGGGTACTTTTCCGCTATCCGTGTCCATTTTCAACCCTTCGGGAACAACGCATTTTCTGCTTCTTTAAATAATTTTTCATTTCTTAGATAGCTCCAATCTCCACAATTTCAATACTATACTTTATTTCTGCAAAGCTTTCTAATGAACTTTACAAGTAAAAATAAAACTTTGTTTCACACTCGGCTCCTTCCGCCGTTTTTCACTGAACACAGCTTTTTCCTGAGATATTTAGTAATCGTTGGATAGCTCAGATGTTGACGATTCAAAATACATAGTTGATTTTCCAAAAGACCTTATTGCGATGTAGTAGCCGGGGAAGATTGCGTTTGAGGGTGGAATGTCTTTGTGTTGATGACGTCTTCAAATTTTGATCGCACATCGCGACTCCATGTGGCGCGCAATCTTTGTTATCAAATTTAGGATTTCTTTGTCACTTTGAGAGAAGTTTCAGATAAAACATACTCTGTGAACTGTGATACTTCAAGATCTCCTCTACACGTTCATGCGCTTTCCGTGCACACACTGAGGCTCATCAGCGTTTATCTGGCAATGTAGAATGAAATGGAAAACTAAACCCACATAACTATAGAACAAAGTCTCTTTCAATTATAATGCAAAAACCTACGATTCTCTTTAAATTAGAGGAGAAATTTCAAATAACGAAATTACGCGTGAAAACGCTTCGAGTGCGAAACATAAGCTTTTTTCACTGCTATACCGCAGTTGAAAGACCTTTCCGTAAATGAAGCGCAACATTGGAATTGAGTATAAGCTATTGAATAATTTCTGAAATTTTCAAAAAAGCAAAAAGCGCGTTGTTTCCGAACCGTTGAAAATGAATACAGATAACGGAACAGTACTAGTAAAAGTAGAAATACGTTTCATACTCGACGCTCAGTTTTTGCTTGATTAAAGTTCATGGACGGTTATTCATTAGACTTTTAATAGCAGTTTGATAATATTTCAGACTATGGAATAAAACCTACTCTGTGTTTTAAAGTTGGAAATTTATTCGAGGCAGAGAAAAATTCCAAACTTAGTAACTGAAATCGCTCCAATTTGAAAGACAATTGAAATAGCTGCGCGCAGCGTTGAGAGGCGCTCGATTTTCGTTATTTATCTGGAATTTTTGTTTTTAAATTCCTAGATTCTTCACACCATGATGTAAGCCGGTTCATTTTAGACAACCATTTACTTCTAATGATATATTTTCGAGTGCTAAAGTAATATTTCTTATTTCTGTATGAAGAAGACCTTTCCACAATTCAAGTACAGTAATGAAATTGCTGAGATCCATGCTATCAAGTGGCGACTGTTTTTCTAAAGTCTGAAAGACAAGAAAAACAGGCTCTGTTCCATGAGTGTTTTAATTGGCATTGCCAATCAGTTATGTATTCTTTGTTGATTAAGACAACAGCACGAAGCTGATGCAAAGAAGTTTATACTGCTAACGTATTATAGGCATCGACTGGAATCATTGGCTCCGTCGAAGACGGAGAGCTGAAACCATAGCCGAAAAAGATGTTTTATGACTTTTGTGCTGTTGCTTTGATTAGCAAAAATGTATGAAACTGTTTTGTTACCAGCATCCATTTTTGAATCTATTCAAAATAGTTCAACCCTACTGCGAGCGCCGTTTGATAATGGGCAGTGTCGCCCTGGTCGCTCGCGCAGTAGTTGGCCCGTCAACCTTGTGGATGGAGCATGCTATTTTTCAATATTGTGGTTTCGTAACAATTAGATCTTCATTCTCACTAAAGTGCATTTTGTCATCAGTAAAAGATTGAGTTTGAATTCAAGAAGACTTCATAGTCGAAGCAATGCTGAAAGAATTACAAAACAATGGATTTTTTGACCAAGAATGATACTGCACATCGCACGTGAGCCTCTTCATCGATAGTTATAAACAGTTTTTTGAACACTGGTGTACTTCAGGGGTTAGATTCTCGATAGGATAGCTTAAAAAAAATGAGATATTAAAAGGTACACTGTTCGACTTAGTCGTATCTGTACCTCACTGCTTTTTTTACATTGCTAAATATGTTTATCTATACAGTACTATCAATTTTTCCTGAAAAGATTATTCGCAACTTACAGAAGGTTATCTTTCAGGAGTTCAATTCCGATAACACAGTATCTGCTATGATTATCTCACTATTGACTGGTCTTACGCTTGGAAGTGGACCATTAGCATCGGCTGTCTGTAACAAATATGGATGTCGAACAACAACAATCACCGGCGCTTCCGTTGCTTCTATTGGGTGTGTCTTTGAGTAAATATTCTTTCTTTCTTCTTAACCGCTAGCATGTGTAGATGCGCTGCGTCGTACTTCGCAACAGCAATGTGGCATATTGTTTTCTCGGTCGGAGTGATAATGGGTATTGGATTTGGCCTCATGTATTGTCCGGCCATTGTCATAGTGACAATGTACTTCGAAAAGTATGCTGACTTTATCATCGTTTTTTTTTGAAATTTTAAAAGGAGTGTTTTCAACTTTTGTCTTCGTTTAGACGTCGTTCGTTGGCAACGGGAATCGCAGTTTCTGGTGCGGGAGTTGGTACGGTGCTGTTTCTCGCCCATCAATGAATACATCATCGCTCAGTATGGATGGAGAGCTGTATTTCTTGCATTCCTTGGTACTGAGATGTTTATGTCATGTTATGTTTCGTTATCGTATTGTTGGCTAGCTGTTCTGTGCCCCGCCTAACCCTTATCATGCGAGTCATTTGAAAATCCTTCAAATGTGCCTACTAAGTGGCCTCTTTTTTGACTTGTAAATTCTTTTTCTTTTTCTGTTCTCCTCGGAAATTTAACATCAGAACGGCTGTCTCAGAAACTCGCAGATCCTTTGTTCCACAAAAATATACTAGGAA